TTATTATTATTTTTTTAATATTTTGAAGTTATAAAACCACCTTAATAATGAGGCAAATGCAAATTGAAACTCGAAAAAATGACAGCCTGTCAGGAGCCTTTCACTAGGAGCGTGCGGTTAGAACTCTGTCAATGCCCTGAGAACCCGAGGTGGGGAGTATTCCCATATAATATAATTTGTATGGCTAGCTCCGTGAGCGGGGCCGGGGAAGATGAACCGAATCCTACGCTGTGATTGGCTACCCGAGCGGGCAAGATGGCGCTATCATGCCCGCTCCGGGAGTATCCGCTGTGTCCCGCAAGAAAATAGTGTTCTTTTTCCGTGATTATCATAAATCCTTTATTGATCAATCTTACTCGGTCAACGTAGCTGGCAGTATCTTGGCCTCGTTCTTTTTTGCGTGTTTTTGGACTTCGACTCCGTCTCGGACCATATTTAAAACACGCAACAAAAGAACTTGGCCAATATCCATCGCCCGGATCCAGCGATCTTGACCAACCCACATATCTTATAGGTACGTGCCGTGGGATAGTGTTTAGTTTTTGAATATTGGGGTGTCTTTTTTGCCCCTGTTGGCGTTGTGTTCTCGGTGTGATCCTTGGATTAAATTGTCTAAATTATTTCAACTAAACTTCCATGCAGTACGTGAATGTCCAGCTAAACGAAAAACAAATTATATGCTTGGGCCCTGACGCTTAACTTCCGATGTTACAGAAACAAAATAAAGTTGACCCGTTGACGCCATCCGGCTTTTGTTTTTCCCTTGATCAGGGTCAGAAGCCCATCGCTAGGAACGTGCAACTACCCCATATTCCTGTCACGGCGGTTTCACAGACCGATCTATTTTTAGTTTGAATTTACCGCGAATTCAGACCCCTGCAAAAACCTCAGTGACCAGTCACAAGAACGGGCTAAATCAGGTGATGGGCTCATGACTAAATTTTTAACCCGACGTCATCATTTCACCGGAAGTTTAAAAAGAAAAACCGCCTTTTTTTCCTCACCGATGCGCGCTCAAGTAGACCGAAACTGACCTATTTCGCGGGAAAAAAAGGCCCAAAAATAGACCGGTCTGTAAAAATGCCGTGACACAGTATTTTTGCAGGATTATTGCAGAACGCCGAACGCCGAACGCCAAATGCACTATCTGCTTGCGGTGTAGGAGTTTCACTCATGTTTGCTTGCGGTTAGCTTTTGTTTGATAAGGACAGCATTATATTGCATACGGCCCTGTCCAACAAATAAAAGCTAACCGCAAGAAAATATCAGTGAACTAACCGCAAGAAAACAGTGCATTCGGCGGTGCAAATTACCCCTGCCGGGCTTAGTATGGAAGTTGCACACCCCAGCCTGCCCATTACCCTAGTTGACAGAGATTTTCTTAGCAAGGGCATATACTCATCTCGTAGTTAAGATTTTATACGTATATAAAATATATTTTAAACAGTGGCTTATTTTACAGACGTTATTTTAACGGCCCACGGTCCGCCCCCGCACTTTAGGTTTTGAGCCGCTAGTATCCCCAGTCAGCAGTACCAAAAAGAATAGATCCCGGATGTAATCTTTTGGCGGGAATCATAATCTTGAAAGCGAACAAAGAAGGAAACTTCGCAAGGACGCGTTCTTTGATCAATCATCAACTTTTCGCGACAAGCCACCTTAGGCAGAGAAATTCAAGGGAGAACGAGTTGATGCACGATTCAACAGGTATAAGTAATATTTCAACCCCATCTTAGAGAATGATTTCACATTTCAAACCCTAGTCGATTCGCATATTCGTGTCCACACTGCTATTCTGGTCAATTGCACGATCAGTTTCAATGAGCTTGTTTACAGTCATGCATAATTTTCGGGCATGAACAGCGAGTGAATATTTAGCCCTGTCGAGACATCGTCAGTGATCAATGAGGCTGGAAAGTTTCACCCCGATGTATTGCTTTCGTCCGATCGAAAGCGAAAGTAAGCAAGGCGAATTCAAAAGAACAGCGCATAATTGCACAATTTTAGTCTTATTCGTATAACTATTTAACAGGCATAAGCTTGTTTTGCGAGAGCATGTTTTGCGCATGAGAAGGTTACTGCGTTTCCTTTACAAGCTTAAGCTTATATTAACTTTCGAGCAGTGACAAATTTGCACCTTTTACGCGTTATATTTCATAAACAGCTGGTTGAAAGTTTTATATAACCCCGTCTCTTGCAGTTGATTTGCCGCTGTTCTTTTAACATGGCCGCTCAAAGAAGTCATTTGGCTAGAACTCTGTGCGGATCAAACCCAGCTCCAAAGACTCCCTGCAGCACAGCATTGGCAGAAACAGTGCCCTTACATATTACCCCCCTGGACTCACTCGACTCAGACCGAGAACCAAATACACCGAACAAAGTAAAGTTTATGTGTGTTTTAGTTTAATTTTAACTTGAATGTGTTAAGCTGGTTTTCAATACATGTACTTGAACTCATTTGCCGTCGCTAATAGATCAGTTATACCAGATCAGTAGGGTAATGTCGTTAGTGCTAGTAAAATGGTCGTTTTTTATTTTTAGTCGAAACGCTGACTGTAATTTTCTGGCAAAATTTCGTTTTCGAATGGCAATCGCTTTGTCCGCGGCGCGCGTTGCTACGGAAGTGGAGTGAAGCTCAAAACACTGAATATTCTTTTACAAATTTATGCGACAGCTGTTTCTTTGCATGGCTTCTGTTGTTTATTGTATATATCGCACTTTATTTAAAATAATAGCTTTAGCTTAGGCGATTATTGGGGTTATTAAAATGCAATCACGATGCTAAATTCCCTCGAAGAATTAAGCTTACATGTATTTGGTACACGCGTGTCTGTCTTGTTAGGTTTAGCTCGACTCTACCTCACTTTAAATAATCACAGACAGCACTTGGCCAACGGGAATAAAAGTGAATAACACAGATGGAAGTGCTAATAAGTAAAATGGGTGACTCAGAGCGCATTGTTGTGCCATTTGCAGGGACAACTTTTTTTGTCAGTTTAGGACCGGAAGAAGTTTCGCAGCAATTTGCATCACTGTGAGATCAATCTTTCTTTCAACAAGCGTGTCTGTGCATGACTGCATTGCCCCAGACTTAATTATTTATCCATTTATTTTATATTTTTATTTATTTATTTATATAGCTGTTTATTTATTTGTTTATTTATTTATTTATTTCTTTTATTCATTTATTTATTTATTGTCTATATCATTATGGACCTCACGTCACTCGATCTTTTATTACGGTGAACACCGACAGCCATCAGTCTCCTCACCTGCTCTCCTATGTTGTGTGCATGTTCTTAATTAATCCATTGTTAGTTCACCTTGTTCTTAGGATGGGCAGCAGTAGGGAGGTACCATGGGGAGACAGAGATAATAAACTTTTCAATGGACTAGGAACCCATCTAAAGATAGGAATATCGTTTTACAAACATTGGTACACCCATAGGCAATGTCTGCCACAATAATGACCCCCTCCCCCCTTTAAAATTTTATTCCCCTGTGAAAATATACAGTAATAGCAAACTATTACCAGGCCACTAAGCTTCTGTTCCCGGGACACCAGTCGCAAGAGTAGGTGGTCAGAAACAAATCTTTGTGGAAAACTTGTTGTGCATCAACTTGACTTTTGACCATGAACCCTGAGGGGTAATGGGCGAGTTTTTTCGTCAACCAACCTGCTAAAACAAGTTGTGTGATTCAAGTATATCTCCTCAGATTGATCACTGGATTGCAAAAAAATCGCTGAAGAGTACATGTATGTTAAAAATTCTGCTTGTGTCTGCAGTCGATATGATAAATAATGAACCATGCACTGTTGTATGCTTTTTCACACTTGTTACTTGTGAGTATTTATAATTACATGTATTTTACATGTTTCTTTCATTTAGGACCCCTCATGTACCTATAAAAAGAAATCAGGAAAACTTGTATCAAAACGGAAGCTCTTCTTGCAAAGTGGACAAAATCTTCATGTGAATAAAGGTAGAATACATTGTATACATGTAATTTATGAATATACAAGTCTATGAAGGTTATGTAAGTACTTGACAGTATTTATATATTTTGTTATCATACAATGTATAATTAAAGGTAAAGGTAAAGTCTGCATGCCAGCCAAGTGGCCCATCAGGCCGGAGCTTATCCCGGTTTCTGTAGCATGAAGCGACTAGGAGTATTTCTACTCCCCCCTGGATGGGANAGGGCTCGAACCCGGACCGCTCGATCCGGAGACGAGCGCACTAACCATGAGGCCACCGCGCCTCCCATTGGTATCTAGTGAGTTTAATTTTGTTTTATTTGTTTCTATGTTTATGAAGTTTATGATATCACTTTTTTCTTTGAAGCTAAAAGGCATGCTGGTCCAAAGATCTCACACGCTACCACGTCAACCTCAAAGCCCGCAGATGGCAGCAGACCTCATTTTCCCCTTACAGAACGTCAGCAGCTTCAGTATCTCCTTGAAGTTACAGCCAAGGAGGCAAAGCAAGATTCTGGATCCAGTAGCAACGATGACTTCCCGACAATTGCCGGCAGAGCAGTTAAGAAAGACACAAGCATGGACTATCACATTGAGGCTCGTCTACGAAAGAGGAATGAACGTGGAGAAACAGCACTGCATGTTGCTGCCATTAGAGGGGATTTGGAGGACCTTGTTGCCTTGATAAAAGCTGGAGCCTCAGTTAATGCTAAGGATAATGCTGGTGAGCTGCTTTTGATATCTGCCATTGTTGTCTTCTCTGTGCACGACATGATAAGTAATATATCAAACATAAAAGACAGTGTTTCATCAAGATATCCAAACACCTAGAAGAGGGTTGAAAATACGACATTTAGCGGAGTATTTTTGATGAAATTTGAGGTCTTTGGATAGCCGATGAAACACTTTGTCAAGTCTTTGACATACCTTCTCAATCAAAACTAAAACTAGGGAGTAAACAGAGAACGAAAATCGTCAAAATCTATGCTAATTAAGACCGGGTATCCAAACCTCCTTCATGGTTGTGATTTTCTTTGTTTTAACTTGATGAATTATTAATGAGTTTGAGAAATCCTGATCAAGGGTGTGGTCCATTACTATTCAGAGTTGTTATGGTGGGCCACTAGCAAGGCACTTTACCATTGATGTTATCCACGTGCTTGGAAAAATTATTAACACCCAAACATTAGGGTAGATTATTATATGGCTGTGTCTTACAAGGACTGGGAACTACCAAATTCACGAATTTGATTAGCTGAAATAGTTATCCAAACAGTCTAGATTTTCGCATCTACATTTAGACCGGCCTTTAGACCAGTTCTACTTTGCAATGAAAAAGTTGGAAACTAAAATGCCAAAATATTGACTATTTTCGTCTAAAAATGTTAGCTCCAGAAAATATTCACATCATGGAAGTGCCAAAAGCCTCATGAGAAAAATGAAGTAAAGAGGACGAGCAAACTTTTGCGGATTTAAGTTCAGCTCATCACCGTTCCCAAGCAAAATGTCAGCTAGTACAAACCAGTTACATTAAACAAATTGAATTTCTCTTGTTTGCCATATAATAAACATCTTATTAACCAAACTTAGTCAGTCTGTATTGGGGAATCTGACCTCAGTCGTGTGTACAGACCTCACTGCGTTTGGTCTGTTCTCGGGACCTCGGTCAAGATTCTCCCATACAGATCTCCTGCTCGGTTAATAAGAGTTTTTTTTTTTTTCCCCAAGCTTGTTAGTGATCCAGAATTTTAAATCCTGGAATCTGATTCACTAATCAAGCATGCTCAAGCAGTCCAGATTTTCCCATCCACAACCACTCCAAAATTTCCAACTTTGGCAACTTTTTAAGCTTTTTGTTACACTGTAAAACCAGACACAGACACATGTGTTTGCTTGATTAGAAGTGAATGGCTTTAATTAAAATTCAACATAAAAGTTGCTTTCAAAGCAATACCGCAGAGAAAAAAATTAAACGTGGTATTTACCAGCCTAGGTCAGTCCATATTGGGAAAAACTGTGCCTAAGATCTTGAGTACAGCCCAAATTGGCAATCTGGGAGATTGCCAATTTTACCCTCTCAACCCTTCAAAAAGGTTAAATGCAGAGCTTCTCTGATTCAACTACAAAATTGTGGTAAATCTTCCATAAAATTTCCCACAAACTGGTAAGTGCTTTCCTTTGTATTCAGGAGATTTGGTGACCCATACAGAAGACCGAGAGGTTCAGCCTGTATCCAGGAGACTTCCGAATAATCCTGGAGAGTTGGCATAGATGCATGTACTCAATATTCACAGTATTATACATGTTAATATTGCTTATTGAGTGACAATACAATTTTTTAGGTTGGACACCCCTTCATGAAGCCTGTAACTATGGCAATCTTGCCATTGTTCAGGAGTTAGTGTGGTCTGGTGCAGATGTTAATAGTCCAGGCTATGAAGCTATGACTCCACTGCATGATGCTGTTATCAATGATCATGTCAAGGTTTGTAGGGTGATACACTGTATATAAATATTTATACCAAGCTGTAGAAAATACAGCCAATCAGAATACAGGAAGGCTGTTGTACATTTGATGGTATTACATCCAACCTTCCCATCATGCACTGGGGATATGTCACATTGATTTTGTTGGTGGCTGCATTTTATGCGGCATAGTATATAATAGCTATGCAATGCTGTCATTAAGGTCATTCCACTGAAATAAAGCCTGCACTGAGATTTTTGTGAAACGTTGCCTACTGATTGTTTATATTATAGGAACTTAAATTTTGAAATAAAAATGAGGGGTCTCCATGTTTGTTTAGCAGCAACAGCACCTTGTTTATACCCAATAAATCCTTATAATAGCACCATGATTGTAGTCGCGATTGCTTGCTAAATTCACGTTTGCGACAATTGCTTTTTGTTCCACACTGAGGATTAGTTCATATGTATTTTACACAGAGAAATTTATTACTCAGTTCAAAACAACAGAAAAAAATGATAGGTCACCATACTCATTTGCGAGAAAATGACAATTTACCTCTATGGCGAGGTCCAGCCGAAAAGAAAAAGCCACCATTTTTTAATGCGCACGAGCTAATCATGCATGAAATTATGCGCAGTAGGGATGCGCAATGCAATACTGGGGAAAGACCTTAACTGTATTTTCTCTTTATAAACATGCCTAAAGGCTTGTTTGTATATCAAGAAAATACAAGTGACTCATGGGTTATTCCATGGTACACCACTCAAAAGCATTATATAACTAGTATTCATACAATATGTCAAATTATTCTCACATTTTGATTGGAGGACAGATGTGCACAAGAAATGTAGATGACATCATCAACATTCCTTTTTTGTTTCTTTAATATTACATACATGTAAAACAAGTAAATTCCAGGTTGCCATGCATCTGTTGAATAAATGATCACAGAAGACGTCAAAATGTGGTAAGAACATCATTGACGTGCGGCCATTACCTCATGTGGCACTTTTTTGTTCTTACCATTTTGACATCAGCTGTGATCTACATGTATTACTGAACAGATGTGTGGCAATGTGGAATCTATTTGTTAATTATCAAATGTTGTCTAACGAGTAATTGTGTAGATCTAGGGATATAGGCCTGGGCTGCAATCCTCCCTTTTTGCTGAATTTCATCCCCAAACTGTAATAAGGTTATGTTCACAGTTCTAAATGGCATCACCAACAATTTTAAGTCAGAGTTCCCATTAATGTACTGGTGTTCATGTGAGATGCACAAAAAATGAAAAGGACGCAAAGTTTTTTGGCAAAGGGCGTCCTTGGGGTCCAGGGAAAAAGTTAAGAAAATTTAAATAATAGGCAAAGGACCCCTGAAAAGCAAAAAGAGCCCCAACTCCTTGGAACTGGGGGTCCCAAAGACCCTTAACTATCAAAACTAGTGGTAACTCTGGAGTTACAAGTAGTCAACTGGCAGAATTTCATTTTTAAGTGTATAGGCTAATAAGTTCAGACCAGTGATAGAAATCTATTTTAAAGCAAAAGCATAATTTAAACCACAACAATATAAAATACACTTACATTAGACCAGGTGATTGTGAAAGTTTAGACTATTTTAATTTGTTCATGGAAGCTTCCATTTTCCTTCAACAGGTTGTAAAGTTTCTTTTAGAGAATGGAGCAGATTCTAAGCTTCAAACATCTCAAAACTACTGGGCAACTGACTTAGCAAGATCAGAAGCAGTCCTTAACCTGTTAAATCAAGAGGAAAAAACAAGCAACTGCAACACAATTGATTCCAAAGGATCACTCCCTCATCCTCAGTATGCCGAACTCAACTACAATTTGCCATCAGACAAAATTAATGGTTTAAATGGTTCTTTCATTCAAACAAGTTCATTCAACAATGTATATGATCCTGGTTTTTCACTTCAAGTTGCTCAAGATACCAAAGAACACTTCATTCCACAGGAAAGTTTGGAGATCAATGCAAAAGGCAGTCACAACGAGAAACAAGATTTCTATGTACAAAGATTTCCGGCAGAGTATGGGTTTCCTGGAAATTTTTATCCTTTCGTGAATGAAACAGAAGTTAGCAAAGAAAGGGAAGTTATCAATTTAAGGTCGTTGTGTAATGAAGTTGTAGATAAGAATGACAATGGGCAGATAAAGTGTGATTATGGTGCCTGGCATTATCAGAAGTCATCTTGTTGTCAAGGTAAGTCTGGAGAGGTGCAACTCAATGGTAATGCTAAAGTTGAAGCTAGAGTAATTGAATCTACTGCCTCTGAAGATCTGGTTCAAGACTTTACCAAGGAGTCCACTTCAGCATCGACCTGTCCAAACAACTTAGGAGGACCTGTTGCCAGAGATCTTGATCAAATGCATGTGAAAAACTCGCCAGCTAAAACACCTTACCTGGCTGTGACATCAGATAGTGAAGAAGATGCAGTCAGACCAGAAAAATTGAATGAGTGTCTGGACAAGGCAATGATTGAGATCTCGTCGTACTTAGAAACTAGTCAAAAGGTCGACATGCATTCAGTGTTGTGTAATGGCCATGAAACTGACCTGGACAATTATTGTACCACTAATGATTTAAAACATGACCAAAATATGAATGGTAAAACATTGCCTGATGAATTTGTCAGTGTGAACTCACCGCAAGGACCTGAATCAACAGAAACTTCCTCAAATTTTGACAGTTGTCAAGAAGATCAGTTATCTGTTGGTTGTTCTCTCCTCAAACGAATGGAGTGTAAAGAAGATGTGACCAAAGTCTCTGCCGAAGGAGTAACTACCGATGGAGCAAATAGTGTTGACCAACAACCAAATATGAATTTCACAAAAATTAAGCTAAGAAGTGAAAGGAAGAGAGACAGTGGCATGTCCGAGAGGAGTGCCAAGTCTGTCAGAAGGAAGAGGACATCAACAAGATCCTCTGACTCTAGCAAATGCGAGAGCCATCCGAGCATGAAAAAAGAAGAATGTACGAATCACATTTCAAACACATCTTGGAGGTCGGACCTGCCTAAGTACAGACACAGCTTGTCAGCCATACCACTTTGTGTTCCAGGTTATGAAGATTTCCTCATAAATAGCAACAACGGAAAGAGCACATCAAAGTCTTTATCAGATGAAGTGAGTCAATATTGGTGTAAGAAACCTTGCAACATGCTGTGTGCATCATCTTTGAAGGCATTGTCTCAGTATATACAAAGATCTCTCTTCACACACCAAAGAGCATGAGCAAAGGAAGAGGGTGGGGGGAGGGGAGACAGAGAGAGAGAGAGATTTGGAGTGAGGAAATGAGAAAAAGGGAATGGACTTGCAGCAATCAAAGCAAAAACATGACCTCAAAAAAAATTGTTTTGCCTGCCCCAAGTCCTTTTCTTTGACATTTCCTCTGGGCTCATGGCATTTTTATTTGCCCCGTTATTGCACTTCCAGAATCTCCAAAACAAAACCTTTCAAGTAGTCTGAAAGATGTCACTTTTGCTGGGTGATGTGAAGTAATTTATCTAATGTATTACAAGACTAGTGAGAGGCGTCCTGACCTCATGGTTAATGTCCTCCATTCCAGATTAAGCAGTCCACTATCAAGCCCTGGCCAGGGTCATTGTGTCACTGTTGTGCTCTTGGTTAAGACTCACAGTGCTTCACTCCACCCAGGTGCATAAATGGGTACTGGTGAATTTAATGTTAGGGGTAACCCCGCAATGGACTAGCAAGGAGTGGTAGAAATACTCCTAGTCGTTTCATGCAACAGAAACTGGAGATAAGTGCCAACCTCATGGGCCTCTTGGTTCGTATGCAGAACTCACCTATCACAAGAATAGCACACCAACTTAATTTTTCTTTCTCTTATCTTGGTGTACTGTTTCTTTTAGATCGTCAATGATCCTGCTTGTGAAAACCAGCTGGACAGGCTGATCGTTCAACATGACACGGAAAAGGTATTCAGCATTCTTCATTTGGTAAAAATGCATTTGATACCCCAGAATTCCTGTACAAAAAACAACTTTCACCTTTTGGGTTGTCAAGGTTACGGGTAGTCAAAGAATTTTCGTTATGTAGTGTTTAAAGCGTTTTTCACCGGAATGTCGAAAACAATTCGCATTCGCTCTGATTTCTGTTGGTTTTGCGTTACCACGCTGAGCGATTGGCTTAAAAACTCAAGCCGCTAATTAATTAAAAACAAAACCAATCATGACTCGTTCCCACACATTCCCGCGCGTTGCGTCGTCGACATGTATTTGCTTTGACTTTTGATTGGCTCCCTGGATTGTCTGTGTGATTTGGGATTGACCAGAGTGATACTTTTGGTTTTGGTTTTACGACACTAGGTTGAGAACTACTCCATAGTAGGATTTTTCGATTCGCGACATGCTGTTTGAATATAGTACATAACTAGAATTCTCTGGAGAGCTGCTAACTACAAATGTATCGAACTTTGCTGTGTTTTATGATGTAGAGCTTAATAAAACATCAGACCTTTAGTACTCTCTTTAACAAGTCTGTTGCTTTTCTATTCGTTTCTTGTAGGTTAAATTGCGCATGACTCTAGAACAAGAACTTGTTCGCCTGTTCGGAAACTGCGCTCGTAACTCAGCTGGTTATCAAGTACCTTACAGCGCATGCACAGTAATTGCGTCACAGATAGGATCGCCTGGGATCAAGGTATGTTAAAAACTATCTTTTCCCTCTGTCTTTCTTTGCATAAATCGCAAAAAGCCGACGTTGTACATAATGTGTTACGGACATTTTCATTGGCCATTTCCGCACCCCCCCCCCCCCCCCACCCCCATAATACACCTTGCTTGTCCCCCAAAATTCTGCATAACCTTTGTTTACCATTTCTCCTGGGTATTACAGTCGTCCCAAGAGAAACTGAAGACAATGCTTATGCAAAATTTTGGGGGACAAACAAGGTGCATTATGGGGGATGTGGAAATGGCGAATATGCTCAATGTAACCTGGTATAGGTGAAAAGTACTTGGTTGCGGAGGCCTTCTTTTCTCGACTTTTTTAAAGCAAAAAATAAAACGCCTCCGTGGCGAGTTTAATGAGAAAAGAGAAGCAAGAAAACCTCTTGACTTGGACCAGAAGATAGACGATTCCTCTCCACCGTTTGCGTCAATTTTGAGTCGTATTGTCTTCAGAAAATTGAATTAACCATGCTGTAATAACTGAAGATAAGTAAAGTGTGATATGGTAAGGTTTGTTTATGTTGCACGTGTTATTTTGTTTAGCAACTCACAACTGTAAAAGGGCGGCCTTTATCAATTAAACTTGAAGTGGAAAGGATACTTAGCAAGTTCAGCGGACTCAAGGTATCTACTGTAATTTATAAGAGCGTGTTTCGTTTTCGGACAATAATTATGAAAAAATCCCTCCGTGACCCACCTCGGCGAGACCCCCTGAGACCCCCTGACCCTGCTCACACACTTATCAATTCCATGTCCCAACATTATTAGCTGTCTGATATCGTCCCATACCCTCCCCAGTGTAATACATGCATGGTGCTGTTCTATGGTAAGAGGTACTGTTGAAACGTTTTGGAGATGGTATCTCTGTGCTCGTCTCTGTTCTAATCTGGACAAAAAGGTGTGGTCCTCGAAATGGCAGTTTGTATAACTATTGGGGGTTACAGGAGTTCTCCAGGTTCCTGTTTTCGGGAAGAACCTCGAAGACTGCGACTCTCCGCCAGCGGTAGTGCTCAATGACACCCTCCTTGCATTCAATTACCGACAAGGCGAGAACCTTCGCGGAATGGCGTCAGTCTTGAACGTCACATGCCAGCTGTGATGAACCCATCACGTCAGCTTGAACGCTGTATCTCAGTAATCTTCAGTGTAATGTTAATGTTACTTTTTCAAAATCGTTGATTCATAATTTATCGTTCCTCTACCTTCTTTTTTCTTTCCGTTGAAAATCGTCTCATTTTTCTTCATTCCACCCGGAGGCCTCGATTGTGTGGAGAATGAATGTGTGAACTTTCCAGATCTTTTCAGTGGTGATGTTGTGTTATTGTTTTGAGTCGTGTTGATGTGTTGTGTCTTTTCTCATCAGACTCAAATGTTAAAAAGGCACAACCGAGAGATTGAAGTGGTCTTCGCTTTAGAAAATTTCTGGCCTCAAAATGAAGGTGGGTAGCTATATTAAGTTATCTTATGGTATGTCATGAAGTCCGACATAGCTTGTAGTTTTCCCCGCCATAATGTGACGCTCGTCGCAGCTTCTGGCTGTTTCCCGCCGAAATGTGATGTTCCTCACGGCTTGCAGTTGTTTCCCGCCAAAATATCGTCCCGGGCGAACTAGTGCTACTTATCAAATAGATGGCTTAATCTAGATTTTTTTTCTTTGTACTTAGGTTTAACTGGGGTAAGCAGATCACCGGCAAGAAGTTGGAAAGACTTCAACCAGGACTTCGACTTGTTACCTCCGAAGTTTCGTGATTATTACGAAGAAGTACTTTGTGCTACCGACTGAACTCGAAACTAAATCGGAGTCCTTCGGTACAAACCGAAGCTATGATTTGCAGGAGGTAGACGGTTTCGAAAACGGTTCGTCCGTCAGACATAAACTTCTAATGAGAAGTGTAACTTAAGTAATGCATCTTTTATTTCTATACTTTGTACATCAACTTGTCTTTCTTTCATCCGTCGCACGTTCTTATGCGTGAAACCGTGAATATCTTCATTTAATTTTTGACTTACGTGTAAACCTCTGTTTAGAGTGGGTGTGTTGTTGATGAATAACGTTTGAGCTATCGAATCATTTGAAGATTTATACATGAAAATGTTCACGAAACCATTGAAATCGCAGTTACAATTACAAATATAACACGTAAAAGGTTTTACGAACGACTATTTGCTTTTGCTCGATTTTGTAGAAATGGGTTTTGTTGGTCGGGGTGTGGACTCGTTCTCAGTCATTTCATGGGTTTTCCCAGCATACTTCCCCCTTCCCCCCCAGCCCTTGTCATTTCTCCCTGACCTTTCTTCCCTATTCGTGTATTAACTGCCGAAAAGTTACGAATCTTTTCCAGTTTATGTTGCTATTTGGCGGANCCCCCCCCCCCCCCCCCCCCCCCGGCCTGGTCATGGCCTTTCGGCCCTATTCGTGTGTAAGCTGCAGACGAATCGTGTAAAGACGAATCTTGTCCGGTTTATGTTGCTATTTGGCGGATAGACTAAGCTAAATTGAAAGTTTAGCGCTTTGCTGTTTCTTGTTCAGTGGGAAATGAAAAACCGAGATTGACGGCCGGGTTGTTCAAAGCGCGATAGTAGCAAATCGCGATGTAGATGAATTTTGATTTACAATTTAATAACCTTTCAATGGGTTTCTCGGTGTATGCTTCTTATGCGGTTTTCACATCGAATTATCTCAAACACCACCATGCATTAGCAATGAACTACACTTTTAAACAAGAGAAATTAAAATCTCAATCAACGTTTAATCCTGGGTTGGTTGTAATCAAGTTTCAAACAATCCATGCTGCGAAATGTTGTCAAAGTCAGAGTTGTAAGAACTTATTAATGATAAGTGGACACCTTTATTTAAAAGTAAAAATCTAAGGTAAAAATTTCAGGGTAGTCCCTCCAGGGAGCTTACGAAGCATCTCTGCTATCAATAGGAGCGCTGATGCTATTACCTAACATAGATTACACACTAACAGGATATATACAAAAATGATGAACGTCTTGTTACAGTCGAAGAATAATTATTCTCTGCAAAACAACCAAGTTATATTTGTACCGGCATCCCAGCTCTGCTAAAACTTAACAGGAAAAAAACAAAATCAAACCCTGGTATTATAATAGTCTCTTGTGAATTGCATTGTTTACCCATTAACGCAACTGTGCTGTATTTTGATGCCCTCAATGTACTTTTTTCAAAGGCAGACATTTTGATATACTGATGAACTTGGAAAGCTTGATTTTTTTTATTATTATTTACTCTCCTTTGGTGGTCCCACTTCTTCCACAGTGATCCTGCTAACGGAGCCCCAGCCCGTGTGCGCGTCCCCTCCCGTGTAGCCACCACAGGGACCCACATTGAGCCCCACGTTTACGTTCCCCTTGAAGGCTTTAGCACAGTAGCCCTCAAAAGTAGTTTTGACGTTCATTGTGCTCTCAGAGTAAATCGTCGTGTCGACTGGAGTGGAGCACTCGGCGCCTTTCAAGGTGAAGAACCATCGGTTGCACGCAGATTCTGATAACACTTGCATGTTTCCGTTAAAGATGACATGGAGATGTGTCTCTTTCCAATCCTATCAAACGAGCATTCCTGTATCAGAAGAAAAATCGTATCGATACTGAGCTGTTGTTGCTATATTTTGTTTTTGCATCCGGATAGTGTAGCAGCTCTCGTAAGCTTGTAATTCTATTTGCGGTCATTGCAGCAGCTGTTATTGTTTTGGGGCTAGGGGGCATTGCTTCTGTTATTTGTTCTATTGTCCTCTCAAAGGGTTTCAAGCCATTCATGTGAGACCTTACGAGAGCTGCAACATGACGTTTTTGCAATTCTATCTTTTTCCCACGAGTCCTTTTGGATCGGTGGCAGGCAAACTCTAGAAAAAATAAAACCTGGGTACCAGAGGTCGATTCTTCTCATGCACTCACGTGTTGCAACAGCTCATGGACTTTCAGCCCTTTTAGATGAGCTTGATCATGACGGGGAGGGGGACGACCGCACCACAAAAGGGCTGGAAAATCCAGTTGACTAGCATGTTGTAGAATCGGCCGAAGGCGGCGGCTTTTGACAAATGAAGCCTTTGGCATCCAGAGGGAAATTGATTCGGTTTTTTTTTTTCTTTTTTTGTTTTTTTTGCGACAATGTTTTCATTCCTGAATTGTGGCAAAAATGTCACCCAACCCATCCAAGCCTCTGTATTGTAATTGCTTTCTGTTTTATCGCGCGAATCTTTTAAGTTATAATGGCTCCTATAATAATAACCAACATACCCCGATCGGGGAGCTGGGACTTTCCTCTTTCTTCTCATCTCAATCTAGACTGAATTCCAATCATCCCCTTGCCTCGGGAATAAGAGACGGCCAAAATTCAGGTTCCATAGTGATCTCATATTTGAGCCGTTCAGCAAAATAAACAGTTTTTCATGATGCCCCCCACCTCCCCCCCCCCCCCC